GATCTGCCGCAAGGAAATGATGCTTATTAACAGAAATGCATATATGTTTGTATAGCAGGCTTTTGCTCACTTTGATATAAATATATAAGTGAAACTAGATGCATCGTAAAAAAAAACAAAAATAACCATTGATGCAAATGTTTCCTTTTAATTCTTTGTATATACATACAAATCTAAAATTCAACAACAGAAGTAATTAAGGATTGATCAGATATAGGTCTTCCATATTTCTGGCTTATACTATATTTCTATATCTTTCTCACCACAAAATAACAAAAAAACATATCATAGCTGCCATTTATGCCACCCAAATCTGACCTGAGAAGGGTATACATGACTTTATTATTCTAAATCACCTATCCTTGATGACAAACACGTCCTCTGCAAATCTGCTAAACCATGTTGATTAAAGCCAAAGGGTATTATATATTTAATATCATAAGCGATTAAAAGGAACAAATGAGGCATAAATATTCTTGACAGTAAATAAATTAAGCATGAAATACTTTTGAGATCCAAGGTTTCTGCATAGCAATTTTCATTAAAGAAACCGGAATGTTTACACTTCATTATAACAGACAGTTCCTAGAGCTTTTGCTTTGTTGTATTTCTTGATTTCTTCTTGGGGAGCAAAAACATAGAATTTATATATTTGAAAAAGTTGATAAATAAATTAATGGTGATTACAATTCAACAATACTTGTACAGCCATGTAATTTCAGTACTGTTGGATGGAGTTATATTGACAATTTAAAGTAAAAAGAAAAAGGTTTAATTATGTAATATATTAGTTTTGTTAAGTGCAAATAAAGAAAAAAAATACCCTGGAAAAAAGGGAAAAACTAATATTTTTCCTTAACTTTTGATGGTGTTGCAGGTTTTAAATATTAGTTGACACAAAATAAAATTGGCAACAGTCATGTTGTAGCCACTTCAACTGCAATGCAGGGTTGTCAAAAATATTCAATTTGTTTTTTAAAAAAAGTAATAACTGCAAAGCACAATAAAGCAAAGAATAATAAAATGAGGTATGCCTATAGTCCTATAGTCAGTAGTTCTTACTTAAGGTAAATATGCATAGATAATTATAGGGGAGAATGTCCGCTATAGAAAATCTCTATGTGGGAGTGTTCCACTAACTGTAGAAACTGATATTCAAGAAAGCCTTGATGGGTAGAAGTTCTCAGTGGCAGAGATAAAACCTCTATATGAGGATCTGAGAGGGATTCATCCATTTTCGGGTAAATATACAAATGCTCACCTTTGGAAAATAAATACTGTAAATCTAAGTTATATATGTGGGAGGATAAAGGATCTGAGAAAGCAAAGAAAGAATTAGACTAGGAAGAAACTTTAAATACATTCTCTAAATCTGATCAGAGGAACCCAAATCTAGTATTTATTTTTTAACTAGTTTATTTATTCTTATTCATTTAGCATGTTTATTACTGCTTCCTATGCAATTATCTCTGAAAGAGTTCACAAAACATAAAATACAATATATTACTAACTGTATATTTAGACATAATTTAGACTCGGAATGAAGAACACCAGAAAATCCTTTAGGTTAGACTGGGAAACTCAGATTGGATAGTTGAAAAAATATTCTGAAAAAGTCTATAATAAATTATATCCATATCATTGCCAAGAATATTACATACAACCAGGATATCAGTTCTAGTCCTGCCATAGAGGTGAAAGCCAGCTCGGTGACTTTGGCCCAGTCACTCTCTCTCAGCCCAGCTCACCCCAGAGGGTTGTTGTTATGGGGAAAATAGGAGGAGGAAAGAGTACTAGTATTTTTACTATCTTACGTTGAATATGAAAAAAAATGAGATAAAAATTTAAAAAATTGAAATTGAGTTTAATTCAAAGGAAATTTATATAACAATAACAATGAGGGTGGAATAGTGTAGATGAAAGCATACACATTGATTCTACATAGTGACACAGAAATATAAAGAATAGTTCCATTGGTAGTGTAGTTACAAGCACACCCTTGTCCCTGTTCACTTTGCAACATATGCTCCATTAGTAATTTGTAACTTTCTAGATAACTCTTTGCTTCTAAAGAACTCAGTGGTGAATGGAATCAAAGAATATAACCACAAAAGGAAACTGTGCCAAAAAAGTATTTCACCATTAAGAAGTTATTTTTAATTGCACTTTGTGTAGCTGAGGGCTGTAATTTTAATCCTATTCTAGACTCAGTGTGTGGTATGTATGTATTTTGTTTTGTTCATTTATACCTTCCCTTTCTTCCATCATGAAACCACCCCTGGAGCCTTTCTTATTCAGAATTCTCATTTGAAGGATTCTCCCTCCCTCATTTTTTTTCTCCCCCCTTCCTTTCATGTGCATAATAGGAAGTCAGTTTAGATCACTGTGTCTTATTGTTTTTTAGAATCCGGTATTTAAGCATGTTTTTGGAATAACCAATCCTTGAATATATTTTCTTCTTTTTAAAATTATAGGACTTTTAAAATGTATGTTACCTGATCTTTTATAAGTTTTTTTTCTTAAAAATAGTGTTAGTCACTATGACACATAGGGTGATTCTGTAATGAAAAGGAAAGCCAGGTTTTAATTTTAAACAAATATACTGTATTTGTGTTAGAATATTTGTGCTGGCAACTCTTTCTCTGTCAGTTCTGAAGAATCGGTTACATCATATAGGGCAAATCTGCTATAAACTCTTGTGTTATTTTAGTCAAGTCTTACTTAAGGCATAATTTTGCCTCTTTTCATTCTTCCTGAACTTCTTCAAGTATTTTTACATGTTTTTGGGCAGAGAACATTTTATTATTCATAAGATTTTTTTCCTCTATGTATTTATGCTTAATTTATGAACTAATGTTTTTTTAAATATGCATATAGAATAGCATTACCGTATATTTGCTGCTTATAGTAATATTTCTTTGTTACTCTACCAACCTAGAAAAGAAATACGTTGTTAAAATGTTTGTGAAGCAACAAATACCCAAATTTTATCTTGATATATGTTAAGGCTGATACATCTGTTTTCATGCATGTGGGCTAATATAACTTGATCATCCCATTATTTTTAAATGTCTACTAACTAAAGAATTTTCAATATTGCATCATCATTACCATTGCCATAATTAACAATTACATTTTGTAGACCAGCTTGCTGTTCCGTATACATCAATGAAAACTATATACACACAAGCACGCACACATAAAAAGAAATGCTGACTTCCCAACTCAAATTACATTTGCCTTTCTTTTAAAATAAAACATATTCCTAATTTGTCTATGAAATTTTTGGAAGTTATAACGGAACATTTAAGATCCAGAAATAAGCTTATTCTAGAATATAGCATTACAGCACTTGGTGAAAACCCACATCAATCTATTACAACTGTATAATGAATGTGTAAATTCATGTGGTCAGAGGAACAAGTAAAGCAAATGCTAGAATATCTTATAAGTGTTTATTTTCAGGTTGTAAAAGTTTAGTATGACAATAATTAAATAGGGATTAATTATATTCCCAAACTGTGAACATAGATAGAAAAGTAATTTTGCATATTTTTTTGTCACTGGTCCTAATTTATTTCTAGTGATCAAATATTTCTCATTAATGTAATGAAATTTTCTTAATAAATTTTTATAGATGTCAGAGTCATCAAGTAATACAAGAATTCTCACTGTAATTTTTCAAGGAAAAAATCCATTAATGTTACCTTGGACACATAACCTGGAATGAATGTCCATTAAAGATAAACATAGAAGTTTGGCTGGATCTGAAACCCGCTAAATAATTAAAACTATAATATAGAAATTATTTCATTATTTTCCTTACCTATCCTAAATTTGAATTTCCAGATCTGGATGCTTTATCAGAGTTCCTAGTTGCATCAGAAATTGATATTAAGAAGAGGAAAATTGGAAAACATCTACAGAATTTAGTCAGACAGTTTGAGAACTAAGACATTTTTCAATCACAAATAAAACTTCATTTTATTTGTGATTGGGTGTAAATTGGCCTTCAAAGAGAACAAAGCTACAGGATAATACATAAATAATATAGAAAGTTGAAAAAATTGTATTTTAGCACAAAATACAATATAAACTGAAAATACCATTTGTAGCCTTTAACACAATTAATTTCCAAGTAAACATGCACAAGTTTGTGACCTGGTTAGTATTGCTTTTGTCTAAAACTAAGTCTAAAGAGAACTCTAGAAAATGAATATAAGCCAATTTAATTATACCAACAAAAATCAACTAACAACTGGAATGCTTTTCTTTCATTCAGTGTCCATTATTTTATAACCTTAGATTAATTTATACTTATGATAAAATGCTTCTGATTTCATATATAAATATATATTTTGAGGAAAATCAATAGTGACATCTGCATTAGTAGATAGATCCATGTTGATTCAGAGTTAATTTATAGTGACAAAGTAGAACAAGATCGTAATTGAAAAACCCACCAAGTAGCTCTGAATTGGTTTCCAGTTCTAATAACCTACTATTTACCCAGAGAATCTTTATTTAGAAGTCAGTATCATGAAAAAACAAACAGGCATTATTTGAATAACTTTTAAAATTACTTACATTGATGCTGTTAATATCCAAAATGGATCATACTTCGTTTCTTCTTCATGCAGGATTTTTTTATTGAAGTTTACAAATGAAATTCATATCCACTGTCATTATTACTCTTGGGTAATATTATTATGCAGACTAGAGATGATTGGATATTAATCGTTTATTTTGTAGCATCTCTATAGCAGGCCCACATTTAATAGGCAACATTCTTTAATGTTGTTGTTTTAAATTCAAAATTGAATACAAAGGGAAGTTCAATATCAGTGTTGAGTTCTCATTTTTATGCTTATTGGTGGCTAGTGTTTTTTCATATGGAAATGACTTATATCTCATTATGTTTCCAGGGATTGTAATATTCTTTTTTTCTCATCTTTTTCAAACCCCTGTTTATATGTGTGTATTTTTTTTCCTCTGCCTAGACCTGGTTAACCATTTCTGTGAACAGGTCCTCAATTTTTTACTTTGTCCCTACTTTCCTGTCGTAGCCCCATCTTCCCCTGGTGTCGACTCCGTACCCTTACAGCGCACAGGCAGTCAACTCGCCACACAGAATGCATCAGCGACCTTCCAGAGGGCCAGCTATGCTGCCGGCCCTGCCTCCAATTATGCAGATCCCTACCGACAGCTGCAGTATTGTCCTTCTGTTGAATCACCATACAGCAAATCTGGACCAGCCATCCCACCTGAGGGAACCTTGGCTAGGTCACCTTCTATTGATAGCATTCAGAAAGATCCCAGGTGGGTAAAACTTTAATTTTTTTTCTATTATTAATTCATAAAGAGACGTCCAGCTGCAAGCATGGGTGTCAAGGTTGTAGATTATTGCATAAACAAATAATCCAGTTCCATATTTTTTTAATGAAGTTCTATTTCATAAGCCAAACCAATTTGCCAGGAATACTGTTACAAAAAATGAACATTTATTAACATTTTAATCTATTTGCATTTTTAACAACAGAATTAAGAAAATGGCACACATAGTGTCCTTCTATTCTGTTTTCCATGGAACTTCCTCTACAAATGACTTGCATGTAATTGATATATATATTAGTGTTTTTAATTACTTTCCTGATAGTAAAGGTTACTTTTGGTTAAGTATTTTTAAAATGCCACTCAATTTCCTAAGATAAAAAGCTGGTATTAAATGTTTCCAAGGGTATTTTCATATGAATTTTGATTTAAATATAAAAGGTTGGAATCAAGCAGGAGCTACTAAACAAATAAACTTAATTAAAATATGCAACTAATTTTTACAAGACTTCCATTGTCAAGTACTGTTACTTTTATGGCATTTAAGCAGGACAGACAAAATGCAAAGTGTATCCAGATATCAATGTTAGCCTAGGAGTTTTAAACCTATTAGGCTTTTGCCTGTTTTTAAAAATTATACTTGATGAATTCTTGGGGGAGGGGGGGTTTCCTTGCTACCGTTATATTTTCTTTAACTGCCTTCTATTTCACTTTTCCTAACAATAAAAATATTTTAGCCAATTATTATGTAAGTATTAAAAAGATAACACCTATAAAACGTGTAGAAACATTTGCTCAGATAAGTAAAATACCTTAATTTTTTAACAAAAGATTAAAAATATTTAAAAACTATGTATAATAAAGAACTCTTGTTTGTTTTTACACATGTGGTTAGAGGGGGGACAGTATTTGAAAGTTGCTTAGTCTATATAATAAAAGCTTTACATGTCCTCTTTGCTAGGACATTTTTGTTCTAAAACATATATGTGATAAAATTTAGAAGACATTGTGTCACAAATGTGGTTAGATTTTAAATGTTTCTTCTAAAAAATATATGGCTGTCACGGCTTACTTAACATATCACTTTTTAGCATGTTTCTATGTGGAAGCTTTTTTTTAGAATTACAGAATGCCTGATAGCATCACTTGCTGGATGGTCCCTTAATGCATTATAATTTCAAATTTGGATCAAAGGGCAATCCATGCGCACAAATGTAGCAGATAGCTGGGGCTACTAGGATGGAATGTCTTGCAGAAATTCTAGGGATTTTCACATCAGAACTGCCTCCTGCTTTGCAGTAGTGGCTTTATGGTTGTCTGCCACCAGATTAAAAGAAAACAAAGACCATAAAATGATGCTGGTTTTCTACCAATCATAAAAAGATTGAAGTAGGAATCAAATGATTTCAGATTTTAAAAAATCTAAATAATTTCTTCCTGCTCTGACTGGTATGAATACAGACTGAAATTAGGCACACTTCACTAGCTTATATTGAGAAATAACCGCATTAGGCGATCAAACTTGACCTAGCACAGCACAAAAAATATAAGCCCAATGCAGTTCCTGGCTAGACACATTACCTATAGCAGTTTTTAAAGCAAAGGTCCGTCTGCTTCATTTACTTGAAGATTCTAGCTTTTGGGGGTGGGGGATAAAAGTTTTAATCAAAGGCAGTGGAAAATAAATTTAAATCATGCTTTTACCCCAGTGTCATTTTGGTTTCTTTTTCTCTCCAGTGGGAGGAAGTATGTGACTTTCTGAGTATGTGATAAAAAAATATCTTTACCTCAGGATGTGTATTCTGGCTCTGGCCTAAACTGTTCTGAATGGCTGCCACTTAAGCAGCATTCAGAACAAGAACTACAGAGTAAATGTTAAAACAGTTCTGAAAAATGCGCTGCTCTGGAAAACCGTTAACTATGTTTAAAAGTTTGTGTTTCTATAATTGCTCAATTATTAGCCACTTTTCTTTCTTCCTCATATTTCCCAGTTATTTCCGAAATTACGCATGAGGGGTCTGTATGGTTTTGTTTTCTAATTCTTTTGCAATAATGATTTCTCAACCTGCTATGTATCTGCATTGCAATGGGAATTTTAATAAGTTCTTAGGAACCTTTGTTAGAAAAAGTTGAAAAATTAGGAAGGGAAACTCAGCTGTAGATAAGTTATAGTGTGCAACTTTATATTATTTTTTAATGAAACCACTAACCACGGAATTCCTTTTTTGCACCAGTGACTTATAATGCCTATCACTACACTGACAGTTTCCTATTAAAGTACAAGTTAGACTTTCTAGTTCTTGCAAATTATTTAAGCATGTGCTTCAAATGCTTAAAGCCATGGAATATGTGGAATATTTGGAATATGTGTACATGTATTAGAGTTGGGCAGTAATTTAGCTTTGATTACAAAAAGATGATTCAGAGCACATGGGAGCAGAAGTGTAGCACTTGTCTACAAATCTTTAAAATAGCTATGTTTTTCCCCAGGATTGCATTTAATCCCAAAAGCAGGCATGGTTGCTTTAAGAAGTACAAGAAGGACCTATGTTTAGGTGCCTTTCTGGATCAGAATTGAAACACTGCATAAGCCTGTCACATAAACATATACAGTTTAGGAATTTACCAAAAATATAACTTGTAGAGTTTGTGTTTGAAAGACTCACTTTATTGAGAAGGGGATTATGGCAAAATCACCCTACTCCGTTTTCCTTATTGCAGCTATCAGGATTGCCAAAATGAAGACAACCACTAGATGGCAGGAGAGAATTACCATGTTTTGTATCTCTTTACCACCATATAGCAATGTTCCAGATTTTTGCAGTTCCAATATGTTGGCCTTGATCATCATTCTGGATTTGCACAACATGCTGATCTGTAGTTAATTATGTTATTTTAAAACAACTAGTTAACAACCAATTACTTATATTTAATGGGTTTTTCAGCTCAGATACAGTATGCCCACTTGAAGCTATGGACTGTGTTTGGATGATATAATAAAAGGACTACCAATATTTGGACTGCAAATATTTGAATAGCAATTAAAGGCAAAAAGGAGTCACAGTTTACTACATTCTTTGTGTCCATCTTTCAAACATATGCAGACATAGTGATTTTGCAGATATACTAGCTGTACTATATTGATGCTTAATAACACAACATAGTCAATGGGCTCCAACTTGACATCAGTTTATTATAATTGCTTCACGTTACAGGAATGCTAGACAGTGAAAAATTAAATTTTAATATATATATATATATATTTAGATGATATTCAACTATTATATGGCAGTAAACTCTGCTGTAGTTTGGGTATTTCCTATATAGAGTTTTATATTATAGTTGTTATGGAAATGCACCACAGGCCTTGTTTCTGACTAATGGGAATATTCCTGTTAACATTCAGAGGTTTTCTTCCTCTGGCTCTTGCTTTGAAAGTTCCATTTCATTCCCTCTGCTGAGTTTAATTTCCTATCATGCGGAGAAGGAAAGTTACTGGCTTAGTGTCTTCAAAGACTTTATATCAATAGGCCTTCTTGTATCCCTTGCTTTGTTCTCTTTTCAAGGGGAACAGAGCTTAATATCCCATATTCTTTGTGGACCATTGGCATTCATATTTGCCTCACTATCTAGGAAGAACACTATGTTCTTTTCACAAGCAGTTTATTCGTTCAGTTTTTCATCGGGAAAACCAATAAAAAGTAGTAATTAGAATCTTCTTACAAATCTTATTATGAAATTATTGTGAGAGTAAAATATGGAGTACAGATTTAAGATAAATTGATTTTTTTTCCCCTGGGAGTGTTCTTATAGTAAATCTGACTTATTTGTTAGGATTTGTTTTCATGCAGCATAGAATAAAAGATCAACCACAGTATAAATTCCAGTATTCTGCAGCTTTACAAGCATATCTTTTGTCTGCATTCAAGTAGTACAGATTCACATAAAGCCAAGCCAAAATTCACTGAAAGATTCTGTTACCTTGTCCACCTTTATGTCTTTGTGCCATACACATGCAGATAGATAGGTGTGTATGTGCACACATGTGCTGTGATGGATAAGGTGCTGGAATAGAGGTGGGGAGATTCAGGTTCTGGTCTGGCATGAATTCCAGCTCATTGAATTGGGCCAATCACTCACTCTCAGCTCTAGACTGGGAAGTTAAAAATATTTTTCTATATCAAATTGTACAGGGACAGCATGGTGGATTACAGTCCTTAATCATTAATAAAGGGGCTTTCAGTTAATTGATTGATGTTGATTACACACATACACACACACAAACACATTCTTCAAGGACTGACAGATCTGACAGAATGAGGCAAAATAACACAAGTGGAGAGAAGTCTTCAATTAACAGCTGCTTGCCACATCTTTCTTATACCAGATACATTTTATGTTCTTCATTATATAAATTTTACAGTGTTTCCACATATATAATACTTATTCATCAATTTAATTGTTTAAAAAATTATATCATGATCCTACTATTTGTAGCCACCTCTATAAATATACAATATTCTGCTGGCATAGGAAGTTGTTTATGCTAACCAAAGGCACTGAGTAGGTAGCACAGCAAATTTATCACCATGAAAGAAGCTGGAAGGGAAAACAATACAAGTCTTTGAGATTTGAACAAGACCTTCAAGCTGAAAGTTGACAGCATGCAAATGTTAACTGTATTGGACTCATACTGTTATTATGTACTTGGCTGTCGTTACTGTAGCCAAATTATTTTTTCCACAATATTTTCGTATTAGCTTTCCATTTTCATGGCAAAAGAGACTCTAGAATTTTGTAGTGCTAAGCACTACTGTGTTTAGCCTGATATTTAAGTTTTGTTTTTCTGTGTAGTAGATACACAGACAATTGTGGCATATTCAGAAAACCACATTTACACAAATTATTTCTTAAGATAATGAGTGAATCTAATCTGTGTGGTCTTATTTTTAATATATTTAACTGAATCCCTCTTGGCACCCTGAATC